TTACGATTTCCTTGTTTGTCAAGGTTTATAACACATTTCCTAATTAATCACCCTTATTTAATTATGCACTCTATCTTTTAAGCAATTGTGTGTAATCCAATTCCTACTTAAGGTAATCAATGCAAAATGGTCCATTTGGTTGTCTTATTTCTCCTGATAAATGTTTCTCTATTTTTTTTTTCTAAAAATTCAACCTTCGCCATTGAGCTCATCTGGAAGCCTTTCTATTCCTCCAAGATATAATGTACAAGACCTGAAACTTTCACCTTGTTAGTGTAAATTCAAAGTAAAGCCATCTTCTTCACCAGAGAATTAATAATTACTTTCTGACATTCCCAAATCATCTTGGTTCTGTAAATTATTTGGATGAAATTATATGTGTACTTGTTTGAGTATTGCTTCTTTCACTCAAAATATTAGTGAGAGTCATAAACATAGTGTATTTATTTATTATCATTGCTGTATAGAATTCCATTTGTGAATATGCTACAATATATTTATCCATTTTATTTTTGAAGGATATTGTGTTACTTGTCCTTTGGAATAGTCATGTTTAAGAATATCTTAGAGTATAGCTTTTGGTGGACATAGGTGAATGATTATTTTTTAATGCACAAAACAATGAATTAAAAGAATTTTATTTAAAGAAATATAAGTGCTATTCACAATTAAAAGACTAACAGCTAGAGATGCTGAGTTAATTATTCATTTGGATAAACTCATCATGAGGACATTTGGAATCTCAGCTTCCACTGGTTTACACCACCTGGAACACATCTATATCCTCATCTCACTCACGAAGTATTAAATTTAAAAATGTTTTTTAAATTTAATACTTTTACATTACTTATTTAATACATTTACATATTTTTACATTACTTCCTGAAAGTTACTTTATCTATTATAAAGTTATTTTATCTCATTTTTAATAACATAAAAGTTATTTTATCTCATTACTTTCTGAAAGTTATTTTATCTCATATGAAGAAGTCCATATGCCTAGACCAGTGATAACCAGACTAATGAGAATTTAAAAATAACAAGACTAAATACCTGGCTATTTAATAAGATGTGGCAGGTAGACAGATGGAAAATGTTTATATATATACTACAGGAGGGAAGATTAAATTTTTAAGATAGCTGATATAATTATTAATATTCTCACTGATTATATTTTCTCATAAGATTATTTCATTAGCTTTGATCACCTGGCAATCATTCATATCCCAAACTCCCTATCTTTTAAATGCTTATACTACCAACATGAATTGATACCCAGTCATTATCTTGTCCAATTATTGTCTACTATCTGAAGGAGAGGCTCTCTCATGATTAAGGTTTAAACATTCTTCTGTACTTTTTTACTTACCTACCCTATTTAAGAACAGAAGAAGCCTTTCAGCACTATATCTAAATAGATTGGAGAATTATGAGTGAATTTATCATTTAGGTGATTTTAACTGTGAGAAATTATAGTGATAACTACAATCGTAAGTTGATGGAGTAGGGTCTCTTGTTCTTTTGCATGTGCTAGAATACAGTGGCATCATGATAGCTCACTGTAGCCTCAAACTCCTAGGCTCAAGCAATCCTCCTCTCTCAGCCTCCTGAGTAGGTGGGACTACAGTCATGTATCACCATGCCTGGCTAATTTTTGTATTTTTTATGGTGATGGGCCTCATTGTGTTGCTCAGGCTGCTCTCCAAATCCTGGCCTCAAACAATCCTCCCACCTTGACCTCCCAAAGTGCTAGGATTATAAGCATGAGCCACTGCACCTGGCCTTAATCATATATTTTAAATAGGAAAATACTTAAAAGTCCAAATTTAGTGAAAAATTAAACTTATGTTATTCAAAGCTTTCCAAAATTTCATAAAAAGCCTTCATTATCAGGAAAATGTCACCAGTTTTGCCAATAAAGGGATTCTGAGATATTCTCTGACCAGACAATGAATTTCCATTCTTCCATTTCTTCTTAACTACTCCTTTCTTTTTCTAGAAGAATTATGCTTTTTCCCCCCAATTAGTAAAACCATATTTATTTTTCAAGGCCAAACTAAAATAACCCCTTTGCTTAGAATTACTGCATTAATCAGCAGAGACTATGTGGCAATAGCAGAGAAATCCCTGGGTCACAAGTTTTTTTTTCCAAGTCCACAAAGTTCAATCATAGCAGTTGCCTTCAACCATCTTGTAGCTACACTACCTACATCACAAGACAAACAGGAGAAGGAAATATAGATATGTATGAGTCTCAAGTCTTGATAATCTCAGGCTGAAGGTGACACATGTCACTTCTACTCAAAGTCTTCTGGCAGAGCTAATCAGATGGCCATAACTCATAGTAGAATATCATAGCTATTTTGAAAGACTCCCTCCTAATCAAAAATAAATAAATGAAGTGTAAATATATATAAAATCTTTCAGGGTAGTCTTAAGTTCTTACTCTAGTCTAACTAATACTTCTTGCTAGCAAATACCTTAAATCTTTCTGATTCATTATTTTATTTATTTAAGTATATTATTTGTGCTGGATGACAGAAATATAACCTTAAATAAGATGCAGACTTGTTCTACAAAGGGCGTACAGTCAAGAAAAGGTGATACACATATAATTTGCAATTTTAATACATTATTTTAAGTGCACTTCAACTGTTCAGCTCTTGGAAATCTAAAACAACATATTTTTAAGAAAATTGCATTGTAGCAATTAGTGCAACAGCACAGTGGGAAGAGAGAGCATGTATGCGAACAGGGAGATGTAGATGGACAAAGGCAAAGCCAGTCCAATAATCAGATCCTCCAGTTGCTATTTTGGAACTGTTGTTTATACAGCATCTCTTAATCATAAGACCTGATTGAGAATTTCTCCACATCTATGGCATTAGAAACGACTGATGATTTCCTTCCCATCTCACTCTCTTCTCAGAGGATCTATCTCCACACTCTTAAAAGAAGAACCCCACCCCTTGCTGATTGATGAAGCATTAGCCAATCGGATTTTGCTTCCTTTTTCAGAGATCTGGAGGTAAAACTCAACCTTCATTATCCTCTTGAATTAAAACAGCAAGTAAAGCTGGAGTTGGGGTTCCAACTTGTGGAACAGATAAACCTGATATGTGAAGGTAATAGACATAAGCAAGTAATAGAGCAGCTTTATGGAAAAGACCATGTGTCCTTTCAGCACTGGTGAAGGGGGACACAGAGGGGATGAAAACTGTAACTACATTGACTCTTGAGAGCTTCCAGTGCTTTCCTTCAGGCCTGTGTGAGGCCCAAATATACTCCCAGGCCTAAAGTTCTGTGAGAAAGCCCTAAAGGCTTTGTTACATTTTTCTTTTTACTATAGACTAATCCAAGTAATTTTCTCCTGGCAAACAAATAATCCCTGAATGTGTGTCCAATAGGAACTTAAATTCAAGTCCTGATGAGAGAACCCCAAGAGCCTTCTGACTCAATCCGATAAAATTTCACTACATTCCGGGGCTTTGGAAGCCACTACCAGTGCTGGCCACTCTGGCCCCACCCAGATACAGTCATCAAAGGGTTTCACTTGAAAGTGCAGCCTTGTACAATCCCCATCAGGACAGGGACCTACAGTCACTAGCTAGGAAGACCACAGTTAGTCTCTCTAAAGAGGGCAGAGTCTCTGGCAGCTGGCATGCCAGAAAGGTGAAAAAACAAAAAACAAACAAACAAACAAAAAAAAAACACCTACAAAGTGAGGGCTTTCTCTTATTCTGTATAGTTAGTTGTAGCCTACTCTGACCTGGACATTTTTCTTGGCTTCCACTGGCCATATTTCCTAGGTGTTGATGTCAGGTTCCTTATTTCCTATACTTCCTATACCCTGTTTCCAAGTTACTTCTATGAACATGACCAATAATAATAGAAAACACATGCTATGGACCAGTATAAACTCCTCTCATGTATTAACTCATTGAATCCTTATGAAAAGCTTATAAAACACAGAAATTTTAGCACTTTTCCTATGGTAATATAGCTACTCAGGGTAGGCTTCAAATCCCAATGGTCTGGCTTCACAATCTGTTCTCTTAACCACCTTATACCAGTAATTGTGGACTGGGCCATTATTGTCATTCTGACTTTGAGAACTATACCATGCCTAGGCTCCAGCTGCAGTCCAGTATTCAAAGCAATGCATTTCTTTGGATCTCAGTGTTTGTGCTGAAACCAAGCTCTCCACAACCCTCTTGGAAAATGAGTACTAAAAGCTCAGGTGCTCAGAGAAACTAAAGGTTCAGAAACCTAACTAGCAATAGAATACTAAAAGCTCAAGTACCTAGCTAAAGGCTGAGAGACATTAGTTTACATAGCTCACTTTTTCTGTCCTTTTGCTTATAGACAGTCAGCATAATGTTCACATCCTGGGTATTTCACTAGCTACTGGTATACCCTTGGGTAAAGTCCTTTGCCTTTCTATGCCTCATATTTTATCAGTGAAAAGAGGAAAACAATACATGCTAATCAGAGTTTCAGGACAAATTAATTCACATGCTGTAGGTAAAACATATAATTCTCAAAAATATGCAAAATTATATAAGTTGTTTCTCCTGTGACTGTACTTTTTAATATAAAATATACATAAAAACATTCAAACATTAGTTTCACATTATATTTCATACATGGTCAGCTGTCAAGGAAAAGTTATGTTGATACATTAATATTTTCAGAACACTTTTCCAATTAATTAGCAGACTGCTGTAGTCAAAATTCCATTTTCATTCTCAAATATCTTCTGAATGTTTTTCTTTCCCACTTGGGGGTGAAAATAGATCATTAAATTCTATCACAGCCTGATTCTTCCCCACCTTTGAAGTTGGCATCTAAGGTTTCTTCTGCAGATAGGGATTCTGCAAAGGGCAGTTTTATAACTCATCTTGAGTAAGCAAGGATTAAGGAGATAATCAAAGGTCACAGTTAAAGCTGTGCTGAATTACTTTTTCAGACTCCAAGAACACAAGCAAACAAGTTCTTACCAATATGTCTGTGGAATCAGGCTCCCTGCAAGAAAGATCACCCTGTCTGCTTTTTGACTTCATGTCTCAGCTTCTTTCACGCTTGAGAGAGAGGAAGTCTGCTTCTGCTAGTGCAAAAATGGTTTGCTGTTTTCAAAGACTTACTGCCTTATCTTTGTCTCACTCAACAGACAAGTCACATTGTCTCCTAAATTCTGTGACATAAAGTGGGTTGTGGACTGAGAAATTCTGAGTGCCATTGGGCCAGTAGCTGAAATTCCCCAAAGTTGACCCTTGACTCTCACCCATTTTTCTGTCTTGTGACTACTTACCCAATAAGCAGTTAGTCACTAACAAGTGACAGCTTGGCAGGAACTCATGAAGAAACTGCTTATTTTCTAAAGCTGCTAAATGTATTTAATCTATACAGGTCCCAACTAAATATCACAAATTAATTAAACACAACTCTGATGTCCATATATATTTTGTCACTGTTACAAAATTTTACAGAAAGTCACAATCAACAGCCTAGTATTTCCTATTTTCTCCCCCATAGTTTCCCCTTCCAACTGGGAGATCTATATATGTATGTAACCCTGCTTAGAACACAATTATTGCAGTGAGAGAAAAGTAACCAGCTGGGAAAGATATTCCCAAGCAAGTAATAGTAGACAACTTGGGAAAGACTGCCTCAGAAAGAGGCATCTATAGCTATAGACAATCATATTAAAGACTTTCAATTTGTTGCAGAGATGGAAATAAATATATAAGTGAACCCACACAGTTCAAACTTTTATTGTTCAAGGGTCAACTTGTGTGTATATATGTATATATGTAAATAAATATAGGTATATATAATATATATAGCATATATACACATACAGATGAACTGTGTATATATATACATATACGTACAGTCTATATATGTGTATATATATAAAACATGTATGTATATGTGTATAACAAACATCTGTACTTTGTCACATATATTATATGTATCCTTGTCTATGTGTTCAAGAAGATAAAAGCCAGAGTTATGCATGATTTGTAATAGCAAAATGTTTGAAACAACCCAAATATCTGTGAATGTTAATATAAGGCAATGAACCAATGAGCTCTGGTGCATTCATGCAATAGAAGATTGTTCAATAGTGAAAATAAATGAACAACACCTATGTGTACAAAGAAAAAAAATACTTCCAATGGGTTAAGCAGCTCTGAAGAAACAAAAATCTGTTGTCCAATTTTATTTGGCTCTGAATCTGATTACAGGGCCTAGTATTCATTACTGAGCTCCTAGCAGGTGTTTACGAAGTCACAGTTCTTTATATTAATCTGGACAACAGGTATTATGAATTATAACTTTAGTTTGGGGATAAAACACAAAGTACTTGGTTGGATGAAGGATATACTTTATGTTTCCCTTTCTACTTCTTCTACACTTGAGATCTTTTTATTCTCTCTGACACTTTTGGATGATAGAGGGAAGGAGATTGGCAGCATGTTTTCTGTTTGTTTTTTGGGGTTTTTTACATAAATAAATTTTCACATTTTGAAGAAAGGGGGAGACTTTTTTATCTTGGGAAAGGTAAAGTATGAATCATTAGATTTGGCATTTCAAAGCGCTTTAGGGAGAATAATAATGTTGTTATTCTTTATCTAAAGTTCTATTCATTATTCAATAACAGAAGGAGTACTAATATTTTAAAGACTATTTTACATGTTACTTTGGTCAATGATTTCAATGTTCCTATGTATTTTATTCTCTTTTAATAAATGTGATGTGCAAGAAATTGTCAGAGTTCATGAGCTAATTAGTACTCGAACCCAGATTTGACATCATGTCTGCTAGGTAGATTGTGCCATACTCAAGAAAGCTGTATACACTCTGCCATGGGTCTGGGCATGCATGTAAGAGGAGGGGCACACTGGAATATAAGCTCCACAGGGACAGCACTGTAGGGGATCATTGTCTTTTCTCTTCACCAATGCATCTACAAGGTCTAGGTAACTGTCTGGCCCACAGTGGGTGCTCCCTAATTACCTGCTGAGGTAATGAATGAATGAATACATAAAGAGATTATAAAGCAAAAATAACACAGAGTAATTGCAAACCATGCACGATGCTGCCTTTTAATTAATACTCACTTATTTTCTTAAAGTTTTAGTTAGGAAGATTATTTTAGCTATCAATTGCTCTATTGAACAACATGGTGGCTACAGTTAATAATAATGTATTGTATATTACAAATTTGCTAGATGAGTAAATTTTAAATTTTCTCACCACAAAAAAATAAGTATGTGTGATAATGGATCTGTTAGTCACTTTGATTTAATCATTCTTCAATGTTTACATTTATCAAAACATCACATTGTACCCCATAAATATATACTATTTGTCAATTAAAAATGAAATTTAAAAAAGAAAAAGAAAAATGTTTTTGTTGATCTTTGCTGATAATATTAATAACTTTTGATTATATAAAATTTCTTTCCAAACTAACAGTATTTTGACATTTCATAAACTTCTAAGGAATGTGGTAATAGATGCCAATAAGAGTTATAAAAGTTGATGTGTAACAAAATGGATGAATTATTACATGACCACCCATTCATTAGTATAGTGACTAATGAAATGACTGCTAGCTGTATTACTCTGCAGAACTTGTCCCCAGTATCATATTACTTCATTCTATGGAACAAGAACTGGGAGAGAATATAGAAGAATGATGGGTTAGAAGAAGGCTTATAAAGTAATTAAGATGGGTGAAGCTATACTTACTTTATTTCCATTTTGTATGAGTAGAGGACATTTGCTGTGTATTTAAGTTATTTAGTAGTATATATGTTGGATGTTTTTACTTAGTGTGTCAACTCTTTTGTAATGGCAGATAAGAGCATTAAAGGGCATATAAACCAAACTGAAGACCTCAAACTGGGTAGAGGATAATGACATGCTAATTTGAGACCTCTTAATTGATGGGACCTAATCCTGAAAGGCAAATTTGGCTCCTTCCCTTGTTAGACCAAATTGAAATATGAGAAAGGACATACAGCACCACCAAACATCTAGAACACTGGTAAATGGAGACCCTACATATCCAAGTAAGAACATTCAGGATATCAAGATGTGTGTTTCCTTATTCTTATATGCATATTACATCTTTTGGAAGGCGCTAAAGAAACTCTTCATTCCACCTTCTGAAACTCAGAAACTTCTGTGCCATAAAATTAAGAAAAGGAACAAAAAGAGAAACAATGCTTTTGCCACAAACTTATACATGTTTTAATAATGAAATATAACATATCTATTGATCATTATTTATGTCATATAGCATTGGCAGTGTGGGATGGGGAGGGTGCATCATGTTTCATCTCATTGAAGAGAACAGTTAAGAACAAATGACATGAACACTGGAATAGGCGCAAGTTGTTTCTATGGATACAACCATAATACAAAATGGAGAGATATCCTTTCTGGAAATTACTAACACTAACTCTTACCTAAAAAACTTTTAAATGATTAAATCTATTTTCTGTTTTTTTTTCTTTATGAACTACAAAAGGCTCATAATGTTTTCCTTTGAAAATAAATATCTAGAAACTATTCTCATTGTTTTACCTACAAAATAGCTCATTAAATCTGGTACAACTGTACAATTAATACTTTATGAAAATGAAGTTGAGAGAAGTAAAGTTGGGCATTAACATATAAAAATATATGTAGGTGTATTTTTTCTCTAAAGAAACAATTTAATACATGTAGTGCTGGATAAGGAAATACTGTATTTTGTACCTCTGATACTGGCATATATGTGTATAAAACCAATAAATATCATTCCATTGTCTATTTTTTCCTCCATGAAAATTATTCAGAACTACTTTTTGATTTTTTTTCATTTTAATTTACAGGTTTATGGTTTGTATTGCATTGAATGTTTAGAAAGAGGATGAGATTAGGGGGGAAATGTCAACAATGCACATGTTATCCTCAACAAAACAGATTACCTGGCTTTGTGACCCATGTCACGAGTGAAGTGAAATAGTTCAAACGGTTTTAGAACATAGTTATCAAGAAAGCAGGCCTAGTTCAATCTCACGGTGCTAATACTTATTTCATGAATTGTACCTATTTATAAACATGTACAGTCAGTCTGTACTCTTTACTATTATATGACATGACAGAAAGAACTACAGTTTTAGGTAAGGATTTTGGTGATCAAGGAGTGATTTATGTACCAACCATCTCTTACATTTGGCTTAAATCATGGAATCAGTTTCCAGACTAATTGAGTAGGACAAAATGAACTGAACCTCAAGTGATGGGTTTGCAGTGTTAGTTCAAGGCATAATAGAAGATATTCCTTATAGGTTTCACAGCACAAAGAAGTGAATTCTAAGATGTTTCACAATGAAATCCTTTCTTTAGTTCTTTGAGGACAGAAGGGGAGAAGTTTCTATGAAGAAGGTAGAATTAAGCTAAAATTGCCTTCCAATTGACTCTTTTTTTGCATAATCCAGGAAGAAATCATGCATATCCTTTGCTCTCCTTTGAAACCCAAACTCAATGACATGAAAGATAAAGAAATCTCTTGAAATTATGTACTTGCAGTTTATAAAACTAGAATAAAAATCAAATTTATTTTCAACCTTTCTGTATATTAATTGATCTGTATATAAAATGCAAAAATATATCACATCATTTATAATAACCATCAAGTACACAATATATGAAATGACATATTTGTACAACGTTTTCTCATCATTCCAATACCACTCTTAATCAGAAGTCATTCAAGACACATGGTTTAGTATAATCAAAAAATTAATTTCAGTGCATAGATTAAATATGCTATACTAGATAGGCTATTTGCACATAATATTCTTTCAGTTTAATAGACTTACTATGTAGTATATTTCAAAATTAAAATCCTTTCCAGACATCATACAAAATCTATGCTGTCATGCTATAATACTATTAATAATATCATATAATACTATTATAGTCCTATACATAAATGGATAAATGTCATAAAATATATAAGTATTGCAAAATCTAATTTTGAGGTTTATAGCACAGAGAAAGGAATCAGAAAAGAGTTTGGATTTTAGCTGTGCCATTTCCTAGCTGAGTGACTGTCTCCAAGTTACTTAACTATTTTACTCTCTATTATTTTCCTTTTAAACCATATTGCCACTAAGTCATGGTATT